TCAACGTCCGTTATACAGACTTACTCATATGCAAGCACAATAACAATAGCAACTCCCAACGATCACCTGGTGTCTAAGCATCAAATGGTGAAGCTGGTGGCTTTGTCCACTGATGGAAGCCATACCTGACAACAGGCTGAAAGGGCCGTAACACAGTGAGCCCTGACTCTGAACAGCAGAAATATCTGTCAACTTGGGTAAGAGATTAGAAAGTAAAAATGAATAACCCGAGTGACTGACACTACAGGACGGACGGAGAACAAATCCTGTTGTCCCCTCTTCCACATGGGTAGCTTTGCTCCTTCTGGGAAAATTCAGTTACGAGCACATATCTGTGTAAATACGGTCGGTCCTGCCCAGTACGAGGGGGGATAAACAAGCTAAGAAGGGGAATTCCAGGGCTTAACTTTTGGAAACTCCCAAAAGGTTTTCATTTTGTTTTCTGTTTGTTGCTCACTTTGCTTCGGTTTAATCAGCAACAGAGTGAAGCACGCGGACTCACCTCGGCACGGAACCCCTTGGCCGTCAATAATTTGTTTGCAAACCCCGCAGACTTTAACTTTTTTGAAGACCTTGTTCTTGAAACTGTGCAGACTCGCAGTTAATTCTTCTGGCTGAAAAGGTAAAGGAGGAAATTGTCAGCTCTTTGGTCCATAGCTGCTGGCTTCTGCTTTTCCCTTCCAGGGGATAATAAATCGAGCAGCGTTTGTAAAGAGCTAACACAGCAACTTTACCAGGCAAACAGAACAAGGAGCCACCCTGCCAACGCTGGGATCACCAGGGGGTCTCGGATGCCCGGTGGGCATTCACAATGCCAGCGACGCAGACGGAAGTGCGTACCCGCCCAGCTGGTCAGTCCCCTGGCAAAGGGCATCAGGCACACCACGCAAATCAGCACTGCTCACGCAATCATGTTTTAGCTGCCAGGCTGGCGGCACACAACCACCTACTCCTATGACCAAGTCTCCACATGCATTCCCACAGCCTGAACGTTCTTTCTTCTGCAAGAAGTGATTAACGAACAGCACAATTATGTTCAGAGGAAGCTAACTGGCTGACTTTCCTGGGCCCTTAGCCTGAGCTGATGTGGGCCTCTGTGAAGGACAGGCAGTCACAAGACCAGTGTGATAAGACAGGAGCTTTCACCTTCAGCCTGGGAGGCCGCAGGTCTGTCACAGGCACTTTTAGAAGGAGATGGACCACTCACCAGCCACCTAATTTCTGTCTGTAGACTCAAGGCTCACAGCTGTGTGACGACCTTATGAAAGTTCAACCGACCTTAGCAACCCAACACCAATCACTGCACCCGTCCATTTGCTGATAAGTGACGGTGTGTTCTGTCTGTAACTGATACCACACGGACGCACTGAGGCCGTCACTCACCCGCNACGAAGTAACGGGCTCGGTGGCTGGCGGTTCCGGAGCCCAGGTAGGGGGCAGCCACAGTTGTGATCTTTGCAAGATCTGTTTTTTGAGTTGTCTGTGTATGCCTCTGTCTACATCGTCACCCCTCTGAGGACAGCCCGGTGCCCCATGGTGAGGGTCCTGCAGAGGCACCCAGGCCTCCCGCCAGCACCGCCTGGGCAGCCGCGAGAGGGGGGCCCTGGGAAGCGGGTCCCCAGCCCCAGTCAAACCTTCAGATGATGCGGCCCCTGACAAGACCTGGGTCCAGCACTGCCCAGCCAGTGACCCCCAAATGCCTGATGCACAGAAGCAGTGAGAAATAACAGATGCTCTTGTGTGAAAGCTCTAACTTCCAGGGTGATCTGTTAGCAGCAGATAATGAACACAACAGGCCAACTCAACCCAAAGGGCTTTGTCAGTGGAAGCACGGTGACAGTGTTGTGACATTCACGGAGCATGGCTGACTCAGCCACAAGAAGCCATGGACTACTTTAGAGCAAAATCATGACATCCACAAAAGTGAACTAGTCACAGTGGAATCACAGAAACCACTCAAGTGCTGAGGCAGAGACCCCAAGGTGGGCCCACTGTTTATGGTGCACTGGCAGGTGATCCCCAGGGTTTTATGAACTGTACACCCCAATGCCAGCAGCACAGGTGCCATTCAGCTGTCAGCGTGTAGGAGCCGTGCGTGGCCCTTACAAGATGCCACCCCAAGTGTTAGGACATTCGTCCTCGTAACCAACCACCTCCCAAACAGAAAGTGTGAGAGTGACCAGGCCAAGCCGTGGCCCCCAGCCCACTGCCACCCCAGGCCACAGCTCCTCACCCAGCCGTAAGCGACTTTCAACTGTATGAACAGTCCTAAATTACTAGTTAAGAAAAAGTCATTTTTAAAAAATCCAGTGGTCCCTCTGAGGGGCAGGGTCTGTGCAGGGTCTATAACAGAGAGACTATGTTCCATTCCCAGGTAAAAATCAACACATTCGTGTCACTGTTTCTGGGTCAATCACTACGTAGTTATTCTAAGGTTGTGATTCTTCCTCCTGAAACCATTAGCGATGCTTTTAAATTAGTTGGTATAAAATATTTGCATATAGGGGCCGGCTGAGTGGCTCGTTGGTTAAAAGTTGGCTTGGGACGCCAGCTCTGAGCATCAGGGCCCTGGTTCGGGTCCCACATGAGGGCCAATGANCCGCCATGTCTCTGACAAGGGGTGAGGGGCACCGGGGTCCCCTCAGTGGATGTCACGAGGTCGTGGGAGCAGATGGCGTGTCCCGGAACTGACCAGCCTGGCTCCTCCCACCAGATGGTGGGACAACAGCGAAGCAACAGCCAGGAGAGGCCCCGGGCCGTCCTGCTGAGCTCACCGCACCACGCAGGCTCTTCCCGCTCGCGCTGCGTTTTCTGTGCCGTCACCAGAGCCAGGAACGCTCAGAGCTGCTTCATCCGATCCCTACAGCAACCCGCGAGGAGCCCAGAAGTGAGAGGACTCAGGTCCAGGCCACGCGGTTCGACCAGTGTCACAGCCAGGGTGGGACCTGACCTGACCAAGCCCAAGCGTGTCATCACTGCCGTGCTCTGTGCGTGGGAGCGTGCATGGGTGACGGACACATACATATAATCTGCAGAAACGGCTGCACACTCGTGTGACTCGGCTGTGCAGAGCCACCTCTCTTATCTGTAATGACCACTGTTATCTGGAAACAGTGATGCATCCGCTTTGCGACCCAGCAGGCCCCGTGTGACTGGGACACAAACGCGATAAGCCACCGGCTGCCCTCTACTTCTAAACGCTGCATCAGAGCCCCAGGTCCCGACGGGGCCGCCCCAGCCGTGGTCAACACCCCGCACGCTGACCGCACAGCACATTTTCTCTGCCGCCGGCTGCTCCCGCCCTGCTGATAAGAGGCCCGCCAGTGACGTGGCTTCCTTTTCACACTGACTTCCAGGAAACTCGGGCCTGTGACCACACATGTGTCCTCGGCTACGTGAATGCTGACAGAGAGGTCCGCCTGCCAGGCCTTTGTCTCGGCCCCTCCGCCGGCCGCCTCTTTAGTCTGTGCGTTCACTGAACCTCAACTTCACTTCTTAAGTCATCACAAGAACAGAAGGGTCTCCTCCCAGAAACATCTCGGGCGACGGGCGCCACCGGCAGACGGCCAGGGCTGAGGCACGGCCACCGAGCACGGCGTTCCCCCCGCGTGCGTCCCAGCCACCCAGGTGTCACGAAGGTGCCCTACCCGGCAGACAAGGACCCTCACAGGGCATAACGCCATCGAGGCCCAGGGAGGGCCTGCAGTCAGCGACGGGACGACGTCGCCGCCCGGCCATCACCCACTCGCCCTCCCGGCCGGGACCAGGGTTTCAGAGCACTCGGGGCCCATCATGCTGCCCCGGGGTTTAGACAGACCCGGCAGCTCAGTCAGAGCAAGCTGACAGGACACTATTCTGGAAGCTGTCGGAAGGGCTCAGGGCACCCAGGTGACACCTGCAGAGCAGGTGAATGCCACATGGAGGAGGGATCCCTGGCACAGGATGGAGACAAGCGGCAGCGGGCCAGAGGGCGGGATGCACCCCCAAGCCCATCGCCAAGCGCAGCCTCCGTCCCCACACCTGGATGAGTCCCCACGGACACCGAAGGCACAAGAGGACAGACTGACAGGACGGGAGCAGGAGCCACGTGTGGACCCTGTGTTGGCTCAGGCAGCGCTGGGGCCGGGCTGGGTGGCCTGGCCACGGGCACCTGGATTCCAAGCCCCTGGTCGTTTCCTCCCCCGGGGGCAGTGCCACCGTGGGGAAGGTGTCCCCTGATCGGACCCCTGACGCCCACCTCACTGAGACGTTCTGAGGCCCAGAAACACCAGCTGGGGTCTGAAACGTGAGGCCCTGAGTTCCCCAAATCCTCCTAAGCTCCACCGACAGGACGAGGGTTTTCCTGCACAAGTCACCCCGACTTAGAAACGCGGCAGGTGAAAAACTGACAAGCAGCACAAACAAAGCTGTCTGATCGCTAACACCAGATGTTCACGGCCAGGGACGCCCAGCCACGGCGGCCTCGGTGTCGGGTGGCCCGGGGAAGTCACCCCACGTCCTCAGCCCCAGGCACCTCATGTCTCAGCTAAGGTGACCTTCTGGGCAAACGCCTAACCGAGCGTCTGACATGGAGCAGGCGCGCCATGCAGGTAACAAAGAAAGAAGCAGAAATGGGGTCTCAGGTGGCCTGGCCAGGACCCACACGGGTTGGCAAGTCCCAAGGTCACTTCTAGAGTGTGGCTGTCATGTGGAGCTACGGCCAGACTGTCCACAGTGCCAGGCCCCGGGTGCTGAAAGGTTCTCGGCCAGCGGAGGACCAGGAGAGAAAAAGGTTTCTGTGCTTTCCGCACTGAGAAGTGACGGTGCATAGGGGAGGCCCTCCCACCCCACTGGGCCCAGGCGGGTCCTTTACACCAGGCTGTCCAGCCTGGGGGGGAGGGGGCGAGCTGCTGGGATGCCCACATCGGTCCTACCGGTCTTTCCTCCAGCAGCCAGAGGGAGGCAGCATACCCCCGGTTTAGGGAGAAAGCCACAGGCAGGGCAGCTGCGGAGGGGCCCACAGCCACTGCAGGGCATAGCCCTGGGTCAGGAGGCCGCCAGGCTCAGCCCACAGAGACACGGGGACCAGGAAGGCAGGCGAAGTGCCCACCGGAAGCCGGGATCCTGTGTCCACGGAGCCGGGGCCGAGGGCTGGGCTAGGAGCACAGCTGACAGAAGCCCTGAGGGGGCAGTGGGCACACCTGTTTGCTCCCCCCACGGGTAGGGCTGGGGATGGCACAGTGAGTCACTGCCCATTGCTGCTGGAGGAGACGGAGGCCAGTGTCCTGTTGTCCAGGAAGCACACAGTGAGCCAGCAGGCATTCTGCTGGCCACTCGTGAGTCACCGAAACAAGGCTGACCTGTCATCTCCATCGGGGGCGGCAAAGACAACACCAGAGGTGCCACGACATTCAAGTGACACTTTCATGTACAAAGCAGACAGCAGCCTGTGTTTTCCTAATGACAAGCCAAAGAGAAAGTGCCACCAGTACGGTTACCTTCAGTCCACAGGAAGGCGGCCTTTGTCCAGCTCCCGCACAGACACCCTGTGACAGCGACCTGGCCCACGTGTTTCTCTCTGAGAAAAGGGACACGTGGCATCTGCGCTTTACAGAGACGTGAGCTCGGGCTCAGGGAGCGGGTTCCCTCACAGGAGCTGAACCGAACGGCAATTCTTACACACTCGTGCGTGACTGTCCTCTGAGGGGACGCGTGCGGGTGGCCCCTGGGCGCTCCGTGAGTCAAAGCGCAGCTTAAGCAGGTAGAGGACCCGGATGGGCCAGAGACTCCCCAAAGCGGGCGCAGCATAAAGAAAGACCTAGTCCTGTGTGACAACATGGCCCCAAGGAGATGCTGGGGACTTACCTGTCCCAGGTGGCCGTGTGCACAGCGGAGAAGCGCCACCTACAGGACAAGAAAGACGGTGAGCAGGCTGAGACTGTCCCTGACCTCGCTCCAAGGTTCAGCCTCTCAAGAGATGGCCTGGAGTAACACAGTCCACGTTCTTCTCGGTTTTGCCCCAGTCTTTTCAGACAATTCAAAGACACCACAGAGCCCCAAGGGCCGTGCCCACTGCTCACATGTGCGGAACTTGACCTCCAGTTTCCAGGAACTAGTGGACTCCCAGGCCTGAACGTCCGAGCCAGCGCGAGCCCTCCCAGCACCGTGCGGGGAGCGGGCCCAGGAAGGGGGCTCTTCAGGGCTGGCGTTCTCTATAAGATGGACCACCGCTTCTAGATGTTTCCACAAGAGGACCTGAACGCCGAATCTAACCGTGGCCACGCATGTGGTCACCTTGTCCCAGACGCGGCTCCGCGCAGGACACGGTGGGGACAAGTCCCTTAGACTCCGCCATGGCCCTCTGATGAACCAAGAGCACCCCAGGAAAGCCGGGCCAATGTCACGAGGCCGCCAGCACCACTGAGCCCCAGGAGACACGGTTACAGACGTCAGCCGAGAGACCCAACAGAGACCAAGGCCCCAGCTTGGGAGCGTGTCCTGGGTGGGACCTCGGCCATGGGCTGTGGCTTTAATCGCTCTGGGCCTCGTCTTCCTCATCTGAGAACCAGGGGTCATGAGAGCTTGTGGTCCTCAGAACAGAGGCGGGCACAGGGCGGGCTCTCCACACTCGGGGACAACTGGCTGGCCCCGAGCAGAAAGGGCTGTTGGCGGGTGAGGGACCCGACCTGCTCTCCGCAGTTCTGGCGCCTGTAAGTGTGACATGGCCCCCCGAGAGCTGCCTCCTGGCTGTTCCCTCCCCCAGGTCCTGTACCCCATCCTCTCAGCCCCCTGTGAGCTTCCTCCTGGCTGTCCGTCCCCACACCCCACCCCGACCCTGTACCCCATCCTTCGAGTTCTCGGAAATGTGCACAGGACGGGGAAACCCGAGGGACCTGACCAGCTGTCCTTGTGGGTTGGAGTGGCCGGCAGCACGACCTTGGCTCTCGCCATGGCGACTATTTATAACTCTCTCGCTTATCTTACTAAGTTCCTCAAGGCACATGACACATGGTCTGGGACGTGTTATTACTGCCCCGGGGCTCTGACTCACGATCTTGTCTGGGGCAGGAGCCCTCTATCCTGGCGCCCCGTCCCCTGCACCACACGCACAGAGCAGCCCTCTCGCCACCAGAACCGCCGGCTCCCCCAACACCAGGCTTCCTGGAAAGCAGGACGCCTCTTTTTCACCTGTGTATCCTCAGATCTTAATGAACAGATGAGGGAAGTGAACAGATACATGTGAAACAGAAAACAAGACAAAACAAATGGCTTTGGAAGCGCAGGGAGCCACAGGCAGAGGCGTGCAGGCAGGAGGCGGCTGCACAAGGCTGCCGTGGCTGCGGGGGCACCACGACTAATTCCACCCCTTGTACAGTCTCCACTCGGCCCACGTGTCCTACCTAGTCCTTCGCGAAATGTTTGACATGCTGGCAAGAAACGTGCAAGGAATCAGAGGTCCTGCCTTTGACAATCACTGTCTATATTCCATGCAGTGGAGTATTGTTCAGCCATAAAAAGAAATCAGCTATCAGGCCATGAAAAGACAGAGGAACCTCAGATGCGTGTTACTAAGTGACAGAAGCCAGTCTGAGAAGGCTGCACACAGTGTGATTCCAACTCTGTGACATTCCGGAAAAGGCAAAACTACGGAGACGGCAAAAGGGTCAGTGCTTCCAGGGTTGGGGGGAGGATGAACGGAGCACAGGGCAGTGAACACACTCGGCAGGGAACCGCGAAAGGACACACCGTCCAGGCCCACAGGCCGCACAACCGCGGAGTCAAGGCTGATGTAAACCACGGGCTCAGGTTAATAACAATGTATCCATGTTGGCTCTCGGAACAAATGCACCCACTAATGCAAGATGTTTCTAAGGGGTATCCGGGACTCTCTGCTACCTGTTCGACTTTTCTGTTAAGTCTAAAAGTGCCCTAAAAATAAAATCTATCGGTTATTTTTCAAGTTTGTTGTCTGGCAGCGCACATTTGTTGGAGCGAGTAAGTGGAGAGGCTCCACGCAGGGTCAGGACTTGAGTTTTCAGAGGACAGCCAGGGTACCCCGTGCAGGGACCAGCGCGCCTCCCACATCCCCCCACGGCCAGGTGGGCTGGCCCCAGCGTGTCCCCCAGAGACCGAGCGCGCTCTGTGGGGGCCCCTGAATCACACGGCGCCCGGTCATCACGCCAGTCCCGTCCGTGGCCGACATCACCAGAGCTCTGCCGTCTGCACGCCAACCATACCCAGCCCCCTCGCTTGCTCACACGCAGCACGGAGCGCCTCCTCGGACCAGGCACCCTGTTCCTCGCGGTGACCCAGTAACCAACCGGACAAGTCCTCCAGGAGAGGACATGCCCTGGCACGAACTGCAGGGACCGCAGTTTGTCAGAGAGTGAGTGGGGCATGGGCGGGCCGCGGGGACCCCGCTCAGCGACTGCCCCTCCACATCCGTCCACAATCCTGCTGAAAGAGCCCTGTCCAGGGACCTGTGACAACCCTCCTGCCTGTCGGCACAGCCTGTGACACAATGCACACAGACGCCTGAGGGGCGGCTTCCACTTAGAACGAATGTGCAATGACAATGCACAAGAAGAACCACCCAGAGAAAAGGGGATGGTCTGGGCGACAAGCCACCTGTCTGTTGGCCAAGAGGAAACTAATATTTACACCGGGAACACCAAATTTATAAAGACCAACAGCAAGTGCACACGCCAGGTGTGTGTTCCCGCCGTGTGGTTCAAACGTGTGTGTTCCCAGGACAGGAACTACGGGAAAACGGACCAGATTTCCACGTCCCGTCTCCGCCCTTTGAAGAGGGAGGTGGCTGACGGGTCTGGCAGGAGCGTGGAGGGGGGGTCGGGACACACCCATGTCCTCNTGCCAACCTAGAATTCTGTACCCAGCAAAAACTGAAAGTGACGTCAAAACTCCTTAGGCTATACCAGCGCTTCAGCCACTCCAAGCTCACAGCACGCGGCGGACGGCCGGCCAGCGCCTTGCCCGCTAGTCAAGCTCTCGGAAGGCCGGTCCTTCTCAGCAGCCCGGCAGCAGTCTGGGCACTTATCTCCTGCTTTTTGGGTTGATCTTGTTGAGACTGTCAAATGAGGGAACGTGTCCTACACCAACCAGAAGCCGTGTCAACACTTCTGCCACCCGCAGTACAAGCTTTGTGACCCCGGACGAGTCACACCCTCTCTTAAAGGAGAAGGATACCCTCTGCCTCCTGCCTGTTAACAGTTACTGTAAATGACCAAGGGCTAACCCAGGTACCGGCTGTGAGCACCAGCAGCCCCTGGGAATCTCTCAGGCAGTTTTTAAAACAGCTCCACCCCAGACCAAGGCGGTGGGGCCAGAATGCGAATTCTTTGAAAGTTCCCCAGGAGCTCCACTGGTGCCGGCGGGACTGAGGGCCAGCATATCCATGGGCTAGACCATAAGGATCTGTTCTGCAACCCGTAAGGCACTGTTACTCCGTGCGTCTTCCTACGTGTGTCTGTTTTTTCAAGAGGTTGGACACTTTTTGAGAGCAGAGCTCCAGTACTCTGTCTGTGCCTTCCTTCCATGGAGGGACAAACAGTGCTACCATCATGAAGTTCACGACTCTGGCAGGGCCCTTCCGTGCCGTAACCATGATCATCACTGTGCCAGCAACAGGGCTACAGGATGCCAGATGGAGACCACACAGCCAGCCGGAAAGGGACAAGGGCTCGGACCCGGTCCCCAGCCCAGCCTTGTGCTCAGACAGAAGGAAGCATTCACGCGTGTGACAAACACAGCCCTCCTTCGCCATCCCCGGTTGGCACATGCTTCTCCCCTCGTGTTTCAGCTGTTGGTTTCTACGCCTTCTGTCCTGTGCCCCACGGGCGTTTCCCAGACACAGGACACTGGGCTCTTCTCCTTTATCCTCCGAGGCCTGCACNCACAGCCTTGCCTGAGGGGACACACTGCCCGATGGCCAGCGAGAGTGACCTCAGTCCATGCTCCAGCGTCCGGCCCACGGCTTCCTTCCCTGCCTGGCCACCAGCGCCGGCCCGGCCGCGTGGCTGCAGGGTGGCCCTCTCCATGACTTCCTCTGACAGTGGCCCTGGCGGCAACAGGGCAGTGACAGTGGCAGTGGGGTTTGTGGAACACTAAGGCCCTGGGGAGCGGGGCGCACCCTCAGGTACTGTGAGACCTTCCAAGGCCCCAGCCGGCCTGTGGACCATCACAGGGGGACCCGCCGTGTAGCGCAGCCCCAAGTCGGGAGCAGCTAGGCCGGGTCAGTCGTGAGGCCGAGCGTCATGGACTCCCGAGGAGTCGGGCACGCCTGTGCTTAGGGAGCCCGCACGCGGTCACCAGGGACCCAACCGCCTGGGCCAGCCTCACCTCAGCTCCCAGAGGGCCAGCTGCCCCCACCTGTCTCCTGAATTTACGGCTGGCTGTGCCCCCCCACCCATGGCATCATGGTTAGAATAAGAAGGAGCTTTGTTGTTGCTGGTGGCATTCTCGCCTGCCCTTCAAAGCTGCGTTATCAAAAAAAAAAAAAAAAGAAAGAAAGAAAATGAATACGGATACATTTCCCGCTGCCATGATCCAATAAGAGCAAAAGCTTATCTGCCTCTCAGCGAACTGCCAATTTCTGCAGCTAGAAATGCCATAATAATCAGTGATAGTTAAGACTTTTGGAAAATTCTTTGAACGAAAGAATTCAATCCGCTAAGTAGCTGGCTGGGCCCCCTTTAAGAAATGGAGCCAAGAGCAGCAGGATCGGGTCTGCGGCTGCAGGTGGCTCGCAGAGGTGGCGGGGCCAGCAGCACTGTCCCAGGCGACGCTCGCAGGCACACAGCAGGAACGACTCTGGGGGGGGCTCCCCTCTGCCCCCCCACCCCCCCGCAGTGATGAGACCCAGCTTTGCCGGACAAGGCTCACTGCCTACTCAGGACAGCCTCAGGGGTTGGGGACAGTCCAAACCCTGACAAGGGGGCGGGAAATACCCCCTCCGAAATCTGAAACATTCCCCGAGGTGGCAGTTACCCCGTCCACCGCACGCGGAACCTCTGCCCCCACGCGGTGTCTTAGGTTACGAGTGCGGGGCACGTGCGGGAGCAGCGGATAAACCTCGCCGGGTCCGAGGCCAGTCCTGCCTGTGAGTGTGTGTGACAGGGACAGCCTGTCCTCGCCCGGGAAGGGCCAGCCGTCTCCACAGCGAGACCGGAAGCGACAGTAGAAATGCCCCAGACCCACCACAGACGCTGGTGCTTGAAAATACTCAAAATGAAAATCATGTGACATCTCAGAAGAGGCAGGGGACAGGGTTTAG